TATATAAATAAATTAAAACATAACAGAATTAAATAAATTAAAACATATCAGAAGAGGAATCTGACAAAGAAAGAGAAAAACCCAGCATCCATTGGGACTCAACCCCAAACATTTCTTAATTTTACTTCTAAGTTCTATGCGTAAGTGATGGTTTTCCATCAATTCCTAACAATAAATAATCACATGACTTGAAAAGGATACATCTTGATTGGCTACTTGAGACAGAGACAACTTCTCCAATAGGCTCAAACTCTTCAGATATGGTAAAAATCACCTATAAAAAAACAACTAAATTATGTCATAAATGATAAATACATATAATAAGTTCACAAATGAATAAATTAATTGTCTATAAATGAAGCATACCAGGGGATATGCAGGGGTGCATGCCCTCCCAAATAAAAATACTCGCATGAGTCCATTCAACCCTCCCTCAAAGAATCATGTTGCAGTAGTTATAATTCACCTCAAATTACCTTAATTTGTGAGTTAGCACCCCCTTTCCTATTAAATCATCGAGCTCTTACTTCACCTTTGTGCCCCAATTAGGCCCCTCCTCCCCACCATTTCAAGTCTTCTAGGTATGCCAATATACTGCAGTACAGTTATTTTTCCTTTGGTCACACTTAAATTGCTATAATCTTCTTGAGATGTGATTATTAGGTGATTAAAGGAAATATTTTTTTCCATCAAAATTAGTTAAGAAAGTGAAAGGAAAAGTAAAGTTAAATTGTATTTCTACTTTTTTGTAATTATGAAACTTGGGCTGGGCTCTTTGGAACCTGCATAAGAAGCCTCGGTGCAGTGCCACCATTTACAGTGAATTGGACAAACACCTGGGTGTACACACGAGTCATGACTTAAGGTCATAGGACAAATGCCCAAGATAATACAGGAGAAAACAGAAGTGAAATGTGAAAACGATTAGGGAATTTCCATTGATGTAGTAACCTCATAAATTTTATGCTTTGAGTTCTTAATAGACCCCATAGGGTGGGTGTATTATGTTCTGATGTTACTGTTGTCTCAACAACATGGCACCTGTTTGCATCACCCAAGCAGACTATATATGGTTGAGTGCCCCCTGCTGTTGGTTTGTAAACCACAGTCTCATTATCTTATTCAACTGACTACTGTATAGCACTATTTTTGTATTTTTGAAAAATTATTAAAATCAAATGACTTATTTTTTTGCCCTACCTGATGTTTTATTTTACTGAAATGTAAAGTGATTCGAGTGAGAATCGAGCCCACAACCTCCAGTTACCTAGCCTAGTGTCATAACCACTAGCCACCGAGTTTGCGCTTAGTGACTAAGCAACTCAAATCACTTTTTGTTTCACAAGTACTTGGGAAAGTACTGAGTATTCAGTAAGATAACACATCACAAAACATCACTACATTATTTTCCTTGTGCAAGCATACATCGATAGATTAAAAAAATTTAAATAATTATAAATCCCATTAAAACTTACAGCCATTGTTAACATCAAGGAAAAAATAATGGCAACCTTCACTTGCCGTAGAATATGCCTGATTAAAAAGAAAAAAAGACAAAATTTATTATGGCATATGATATAGTATTGAAAATTTCAGGAATGAACAAGGAGGTTTCCATAGCATCGCTAGGGCGCTTTCAATTTGTGCAACGACGCGACGCTAGAACGGAATCACTCATGCGTGACCGTCCTACCTGGCATCCTACGTCCTCTGCATACGTAGATTTTGGCCAAATTGCGTTCCAGAATCTTCTTGACGAGGTGACATTAACATTCTCGTATTGCGCAGATGACTTTTAGTGACCTCATTATGTCCTACCGTCGTAATTGATCGCCATTTTGTGGAAGTATTAAATGTTTATCGAAGAGGAAATAAATGACTCAAATGTCTCTAAAGGCATCATATTCATGTGTGTGCAGAATGTTTTATGTTTCAGACTCCAAAGACCGAGTTTAATGTATTACTAGGCTATATGTACCCAGTAGTGGATCCAGGAATTAAAATTAGAGTAGGAGGGGACCCAGGGAGGGATTTTCTCAGATGGAGGATCTAGACCACCCCGGCTTCACCATTGTCGGGGCCAAGGTAAAGAAATTTATGATTATGGCATCTCATGGTTAGAAATGGCACTCTCTGGTTTAATCAATTTGAATTTAAATTTTCTTTTTCTCTAATTTTGAAAAATTTAGGTGGCAGGGTGGGAAGGCCAGCTGGGTTCTTAGTAGAAATAAATAGCAAAAATACTATTGGTGCCAGAAACCGTTTTATTATTATCATTTTTTATATATGACAAAAATAATAAGGAACTATTTGAAGATTTGGGATTTAAGCACAGATATACATTTACCAACAACAAAAATGACAAGCAATAACTTTGTGTACAGTAATAAATTTATATACCAAACAATCAAGAATGAAAAATTAAACAATCCTAATTTAAACCTTTCCTATGAAATGTAAAAGATGGAATAACAATTTTAATTATCCAGTAAAAGTTAAAGTAAGATGACATTGGAAAATGAATTCTTCCATGTAATGATACTAAATTCATATTTTGCTATAAACCAATTTCTAATCTACCACTACTTTAAAAATTCCATTGCATTGTTATGAAATATATACTGGAACCTGTATATTTACATTTTTTCTCATTACTAAGTAGCGCAATGAATCTATTAATGCTTTTAACCATACCGCATGGAAGCAACATCATAACACATGATAGAACAAATAAGCCTCAGAAATTGATAAAAGGTGGAACAAATAATGGATGGACAAAACATAGTTTGATGAATGAATGAATGAATGAATAAATCAAAGAATGAATAAATAAATGAATATGTGGATGGAAAAAATTAACACTGATAAATAAAATGAATGGATCAAAAAATTGAGATATTGAGTGAATGATTAAATAACTTGTTTATCTTATCAAGGAAAAAATGGATGGACTAATGACACTCCCCTTCTCTCCTCAGCATGGCATGTGCCATATTATGGCAATAACACATATGGAAGAATGACTTATGATAACTAATGAATGGATTACAGTGGCAATGACAGTATCTAAAAAGAAATATTTTACGCCGCAACAACACCATCGCTATGCACTAATCAACAACAATCATATTAGAAAGAATTGTTTTGTCTCGTCTCAGAAAAAAATTAGGTCTACTACAAGTAATTCCACAAATTACTATTAATTTCAGGCCCATAACCAGAATGTTTTCTATGGTTTGGTTAAAGCCCCACACCACTTCATGTGTTGACCCCACCTACCAAGAAAGGACCCTTCCCTTTGATGCCACTAGGTCAACTATGGCACTCCTAGATCTCTGGTACTTATATGAAACCACAATGGTTCTAGGGCCTGAATTAAAATCTGTAGACATATTAAAATCAAAACATAAACTAATAATACTGTTACTGAAATTCTCTGGTTTTACAAACTCTCCCATAATAGATTTTTTGAAAACATGTCAGTTACATTATTAACCATGAACAATTTATGAAGTAATATCCCAAAAGAGGTGAAAATCATCTTTCAATACCTGCCATCAAATTGTTGGTATGTCTTTTTCATATATTTCAATTTCCGTCTTATTATAAAACATGGTGGAAAAAAATCAAATCAATTATAACCATTAACAACATTACACTTACTGACACCTACAGTAAAACAAATAGCTAAAGTAAAGCATAGTATTCAGAATCTCTATAACTGAGTGGAACTTAGGTTAATTAAAAATATAATAATAAAATAATTTTAATAATAATAATAATAACAATAATAATAATAATTATTATTATTATTATAATTATTATTTTTCTATTGGAATTACTACAAAGAATATTGATTGACTAAAGACTAAAGAGTTCAACAACAATTTTCACACTTTACAGAGAAGTACAGTACTAAAAACTATTTTCTGTCGGTATTTGCATTATTAAAAAAAAATAACAATCACTAATTTCATATTCTACTATTTCATAAAATACTAGGAGTGATTTAGTGGTATACCAGGCGGTTATCAGCATGCCTGAGCACCCCACCCCCTCACCCTTTGGTTTAAATGTGAAAATAATAATTAGTAAATTAATGGCAACACATGCAAATAGTAGCCAATTAAGTTATTTAGAGACGTCTATATTTATGCTTAGTCATTTAGCCATCTATATGCTCTGTCTCTCTAGTTTTCCACCTTGCGTAAAGTTCAGTGAATGTTATATTTCTATTCAGCACCCCTCCCCCAAATCCCCTCCTCCAACTCCCCCCACTACAGTAATTAGCATTTTGATTCATGAATTATAATATATCAGTCTAACCGAGGATTTGCTGCGAAGAAATAATATTAATAAAATTGAAGACTAAAAAGAGTCAAGCATGACTTACTTTGTTTTGTCAGATATGCTAACATGGAATGCATACTGATGTTCCTTTTCTTCCTTCATTTCTTCGTCCATTAAAGTTAAACCGCTTAACGACCGCACGGTTCGTACCTCACCAGGAACTCTACAAAGTACAATAAAAAAACTTTGTATACAGTAGAACCCCTCCTTTGGGACACCCCTATATTAAGGGGAAACTTTTTCTAAATGAGAGAAAGCATATTTGCTTGTATAAATTTGTTTATAAATAGCACTTTTTGCCCTTTCGCATGTGCAAACTCTAGGTCCACTTAACATCGCGCTGACGGTAGCGGACTGCAACCTTTACGACGAAAGACATTGGCCCTTGACCGCACCACAGATCAGCAAGTAGACAATAAACAAATAGGAGGTTAGGCCTAGTCGGTTTGAGCTCCTGGATGAAGGACTAGCCTAGGCCTAGCATTACTTCTTGATTAAGCCGATAGCAAAGCACCAAAAGACAAATTAAATATGTTTAGTCAATATTCAACAAATATTGCAAGGTGACGGGTGCTGTTGAAATTGAGGACAGAGCTAGACACACTCTTTGATCACCTAAGCTAGTGTGTAGGCCTCTACTGTAGGTGTAGGCTACAAAGTAAGTACTTTTTTAGGCCTTGTAGAATCTAGTATGAGGTATATAAAACAAATATTGACTGCTCTAGATTTAGGGAACGGTGAAATCTATTGCCCCTCGGTGAGACCGTAGCCTATCTTCCTTCGGCCCTTGGGAAGATAGGCTATGGTGCCCCTCGAGAAGATACTGTAGGCTACGTTTTTCACATCACCTTGGGGCAATAGATTTCACCATTCCCCTGATGAGCAGTCAATATTTGAAGAATATCTAACACTAGAAAGGAATTAACTTCTACAATATCATAACAGAAAGGTACACATCCTGTAATCTACAATCGTCATTTTAAAAAAGTTTATTATAACACTGGTAGGTAATTAAATATATGGATGTTACAAAAATAACAAACCAGCCTTCTCAGAATACCATCAAAAATTACAAAGGCAAATCATAGACCACATGCAGACTATAAATAAGGACTTAATGCAATTTAATATGTCAATATATACAGTAGTCATGATGTGCCTATATATGTTCATGTTGTGATGTCATCATGACCATATTTAGTCATGTCACATGTTTTTGTCAAATAATAATTATTTGACAGTCTAGACAGGGCTTAAGAAGTGAGTTGTCAACTGATGACAGAAATGGGGAGGAATCATTAGCAAGGGGGCAAGCTGTCCGACAGTTGTCAGTCAATATCTCAGTGGCCAGCAGGGGTCAGGTGCGAAGGATTAGTGGGGTCCAGTACACAGGCAATTGTCACCATTCTATGCTGTCCTAAGATGCTTCATATTATTACATAAGAAGAGAATTTATTTTTTTTAAAAAACAAATAAAATTCTTTTCTTGTCAGACATTAAGTGGCCGACGAGGAATTCTGTCTGACTGACAAGAGAAAAATATAGGTTCTTCTCCCCCAACCCAACAAGTGCCCTATTGTTCATAAGGACTGTGATACAGCAACAAAATTAAACAGTCAATCTAAATAGTCATAAAGGAAAAGAATAATGAAGGAAAGGGAAAGGAATGGGAAAAAAAAGGAATAAAGAAAAGAAAAAAAGGAAAAGAAACTAAAAGTGGCCGACGAGGAATTCTGTCTGACTGACAAGGGAAATATACGTTCTTCTCCCCCAACCCAACAAGTGTCCTATTGTTCATAAGGACTGTGATACAGCAACAAAATTAAACAGTCAATCTGAATAGTCACAAAGAAAAAGAATAATGAAGGAAAGGGAAAGGAATGGGAAAAAAAGGAAAAGAAACTAAAACGGAAAGAGAGAAGAATGAAAAGAAAAATTAATAGAAAAGAAAAACGAATTAGAGAAAAGATTCAAAATTAAATTAATAGAGCAAATCATACAAAATAATTGTCATATTGGTTGGACAATTCTATCCCAAATGTTCTGGTGGATAAAGGTCATACAATAGCTACTGTACTACTGTATATTGCATAAATTTATGCATTTATTTATATGACCTTCTACAGACATATTATTCAGATTCAAGTATAACACATAATTACTGTACAAAAGACTATATGGCCAATACGATAAACTAAGTTCTAAACTAAATTCTCACTAACCTTCCATTGCTGCCATCAATTCCTAGCTTCTCGATATCCGATCCTGCGGTTCCGTATCTCTCATTGTGTTTATGAATCAGCTCCTCGGTTTGCTCTGCAGGGAATGTAGCCTCCTCATCCTCGGGAATGTCTGCTGTGGTGGGATGGAGGGATGAGATACGAATACGAGCAGAACTCTTCACATCCAGTAAGGGCGTATGCTCAGTGTGGTCAGCGTCTGACATACTGAGCAGGTGATAGTTCCTCCAAGATGATAATCACCTGAAATTAACAAGTCTTGATAGTCAAGCCAATTAGTAAGAGAACCAATGGGTAAAGTTCAACGGGAAAAAAACATTCTGTGACCTTGACCTTGAACTTTTTTCCTAAATTTAATCACCTCTTTCTTTGAGGATTATAACCATTCCACACAATTGTATAAACGTGTTGTATAAACAAAATGGTGACATAATTTCTGCCGCAAGAACCAATTTTCGTAAAAACAAAAAAATGCAGTTGCAGCGCGGGAAGGCTGTCTGGCAGTCACTAAAAAAGCAGTCAAAAAAAAATTGATAATTTTGTGTTTATCAGTAAAAACATGCCGCTGTTTTTAAGGAGACACTACAAACCTTTTTCTTTCTTTTTAATTTGTTGTCTTTGTTTTCTGTTAATTTTAAGTTTAGTTGTTAGAAATGCAATATGATTTTTCATGCTATACTATTGATGTTTGATTTACATACCACAGGTAGGACACCTCCTGACGACAATTTTGTTGCAGCTTGCGGAAAAAAAAATATAAACCCATGTGTAGGCCTACAGCCTTTCTAGCCACCTTTTGCCAGAAAACCCCTTGTTTTTATCAGTAAAAAACAATAGTAAAACTGAACATAAAGCTATATGTGTTAAATCATGACCCACTCCCACAATTCGCTTAATAGATAATGAAAATATGGGAGATAAAAAGTGTGTAATTCTAAGAGTGTTGACAATTTATGAGCTTAAATTTACTGATGAATGAAGCATGATGCATGTAATGCATAATTATCTATTTAATATTTTAACCACTCTTTTAATACAGTAGGCATGTTATTTGCTTTTAAATTGAAAAGTAGCCTACAGTAGAACGTGCAGATATTTTCTTGTCAAATATGTAATTTCCGATGAAAAATATGAAACAAAGTTTATCTGTATATGTATCTGTAATATTGTTCCTATATTCATTTATTGTAAAAAATCTAAAAATGGAATGGTATCAATTTTAACATTGTTTAAATAAGTCTAAAATATGAGCAAAATCTGAATTGTTTTTTTGATGATTTACTGACTACAGTATTTTCAAACATCTTTTAAATTGATTACTATGCAATTTAAAGATTTTTGTATTCATTATTCAGGAAAAATTAGTATTGTTTCGATCTTTGTCACGTTGGAACATGTTAAAAATTCCAAGGCTTTAATTGCAATGTTGAGGGTAGGGCAATTTTTGTAGGCCTATAAAAAGCAAGCCTCCGAATTTCCCTTTACTAAGAAAATGAAAGCTAAGAAAAAACAAGAAGTTCAAACCTACACAAGAATTAAGTTTGTACTTACCAATAGATGAAACTAACTTACTATCTCAGTAATAGTTAGCTATTAAATTAAACTTCAAAATGACATGATATATTAAATCACAAATAGTAAATAATCAATACAGTCAATCTCTGAATAAACCAGACAGATGTGTTTGTAAATGGTTATTCTTGCTCATGCACTCCTTGCTACCAGCACCTTTTCTTTAAGATACCCTGTTTAAAACATAGATTATCTTCATGCATGCTGATTGGCTAAAGCTGGAATAACTATTAAACATGACCTACAAGGCACATACATTTCCTACATCAAAATTTCATGTTGCTGATAATACTATAGGTTTGGTTTTAGTACTTTGTGATTGGCTGGGTCCATGAATGAGTAGTTAAGAAATATATTGAATGTAATGATTGTTTATTATCTCAAATTAATCTGAATGCACTATTTAATGTTTACCAACATGCAGGGTTTTAGCCAGAAAAACGATATAGGCTGTCTAAAATGGAAGCCACTCGGGGCCACGCCCATGGGAATCCCCACCGAATATTGGTATGAAAAAAACGTACATTCAATCAATAAATGTTGTTTTTATCAAACATAAATATGATTTAGCTTTAATTTACTGTAACATTCGATAGATTTGAAGAATAAAGAATTTGTTAAAAGGTAGCTTAGGCCCAATTAGGCTAGGCTGAGCTGATTGGTCCAAGCCGTCCAAGCCGTAAGGTAAAAATGGCCGTCCTAAATAACTGTAGCCGTCCAAAAGACGGCCAGACGGCTTGCTGGCTAAGCCTATGCTGACATGTAATATTATAGGCAAATGATTACTTGTTTTGGTGTGTTTTACTTTAATTATTTATGATGTATTTATACATCAAGCATCGTTTAACTACAGTACTTTATTTATGTTTGATAGTTGAAGGAATACTTTATTGAATTGAAAAACTAACTACATTGTCAGCTAATAATAATGTTCATCCAAACTGAATGTTACTTTCGATACTGTTGTTTGTTTTTAGTGCTTTGTGATTGGCTAGCTCCATAAATAAGTAATAAAGAAATATATTAAATGTAATGATTGTTTAATCTAAAATTTAATAATTTTAATGCTCTTTTTGATGTTTAATGACACGTAATATTAGCTGGCTAATGACTGCTTGTTTCGGTGTGCTTCAATATTTTTTTTACTTTAACGATTCTTCTAATTGATAAATGCTTTATTTTATTTTATTTTTATTTTATTTTATTAATTTCGGCAACACAAATGAGAAAGACACAAAACAACTTTGAATGCGCCATGGAGTGGCAAAAGAGGTCAGAGAACTTCTGTCGCCAAGAGGCGTGCCACTCCAACACTCAAAGCCTACAAAAAACATGCAATAAAATATAAAAATATACAAGAATATCTAAAAATTAAATAGGCCAATATCTTTAAAAAAAATGTTTAATTAAAATATTTTTAAAATTCGACCAGCTATCACATAAAAAAAGTATTTCTAATGCATTAAATGTATATAAGGCAGAAATATATCATATATTTGGAGGTTTCAGAAGGAAGGTGTAATAAAAATATATAGAATTTCATTTTTAAATAAAATTTATATTTTTTTGTAGGTAACTAGCCAAAAAGAATATGACATTTTTATTCAAAATCAACAAGCTATAAAAAAAATCAAATCAGAAGTCTCGCCTTTGACTACACAATCTAATAGCTGAATTTCGTAGCCATAATGGAACAAAGATTTGACAGCAGTATTGGAAGCATAGGTTATACAGTATTAAGCTACAGCAGTTAACATACATTATTACATCTACTGGTAGAATTATATATACAAACATTATGACAATAGTTTAGATTATTCAATATCAACAACGTTCAGTATCCTTATGCAGTTTCAGTGAAAATTAGTATAACTTTGTCAAATGGAAAATAAACCAATATTCTAAAATGTATTTGCACTACTAAACAGTTAATTTTTAAGCCAAATTCCGACAATGTCAGTCTGGGAAAGGGGTGTGGGTGAAAGGGGATTAAGTCGCCCTTTCCTCATTAGGCAAAAAAAATTTTTTTTTAACTCTTTGGGCATAATAATTTTTTTTTTTATCTAAGAAGAATAACATGGTCTAAAATGTCCCAGTTTCTATACTATAATAGGTGCCTAAACCCTTCCCACTGAAACCCCATCAAGGTATTTCCTCTAGAGTCGACCCCACCCCCCACCCCTTGCCCGAAATGGTCAAATCCTGTTGGAAAGATTCCAACCTTGCATCTCTCAAATTTATATCATTAAACCCTGTCCACACTATCAAATTTTATTTGACAAAAACATGTGACACGCCTAAATATGGTCATGATGACATCACATCATCACCATATATAGGCACATCATGACTATATATGGACATATTTGATAAGTGTGAACTAAGCTTTAGAGAAGATCATAAAACATTGTTCAGCAGTGGCCATAATGTTTTTATATTGGAACTTTTAAGTTGACATGTGAGAAAAGGCCATGACCTTGGCACACCAATGAGGCTATCATTATTATTATTATTGCCATGTTTTTTAAATATTAAACTGGTTGACATGTTCACGGATCACAACTTTGGCACAAACATTTAGTAGTTATGATCATTGTTTAGCTACTATTACTGGTACCATTACCTACTTGTAATACTGACAAGGATATTTTCCAAAGTCCACACCCTTTTAACACAGAATTTTTTGCTCAAGTTTATAGGGGTGGGCCTATACATGAAAACCAGATAGTACAGGCACAGTAGCATTGTGGCTGCTCCTTACTATGACACTATCCCACTTCTGGATGGATTTAACTTTTGTAAAACAAAACATGTGATCTTGAGACAATATTGATTTCAATATGAAAGGCCATGCTAATATAAATACAGTGCATGACCATTACCAAATATTCTAGGGCACTACCATCATATTTATATAGTATATTTGTTTGGGGTAAAATTTCTAAATTGACAAACTTAACAACTGACCAGAGCCAGAAATATAAATATAAATATGCATTTATTCCACAATTAGTATTAACAATACTAATTAATTATTAATTATTATTAAGAATTATTATTACGACAATATTAGCCCCCCACCCCCCAAATATTCTTTTTTTGGTTTGGCTGTCTATGTAAATTGTGTTTGCGATCTTTTTTATTCTATTTCAATTAACCATTGTGTTTTTTACATGCTTTTTCTCTTTTTTCTACTTTTTAACTTGGATTTTTGTTTGGTGCTGTGCTTATTATCCTTGTTTTTTTTTCTTTGTTTGTGTTGTGAATTTCTTAAATTCTGGTGTTTTTTAATTTTTTTTAATTTTTGTAATACATTCATACACAGCCTTTTGGCTGTCCACTTGTAATTTTCTATCTGAATCTGAATAAAGACCTTGAATGATAATAATTCATATGCATTTACGATGTTGTTTTTTGGGACCTAATCATTATATTCAAAGGATGAGGAGAGGGGGAGGGGGCTAATGTTCTGCTATATGGATGGGACTGCAATTTGAGGGAGAGTGCGCCAGGGACAGAATGGTCACCACGACAACCACAAGGGACCTCAACACATTCTTACTTCATTATATTTTCAATATTTCAATATTCTTCATAATAAGCTTCGTTACTTCAATTGTTTTTTTGAATAAGTTTTAAATTATTAATTATTGCCTCCTCCAAGGGGGTTATGTGTTCACTCTTGTCTGTCTGGTGTCTGTAAGCAACATTACATATTTAAACTAAAGAATAGATTATCATAAAATTTATGGCAATGATACAATAATTTAGGAAAGAGATGATTAACTTTTGGGAAGAAAAGGTCAAAGGACAAGGTCACCAAAAAAATTTTTTTTTTCCATTGAACTTAACGCTTAAGCAAAGGCGAGACTTGTTTCGTGAAATTATTTTATATAAGATTGTTAGAGGAGGTTGCAAAAAAAATAAAAATAAATTATAAAATTTTGTTTTCTTATTTAGAAAATGGTTTTGCCGAAAAGATCGAGAAAGAGGAGAAAATAAAAACACAGTGTTATTGATGAATGTTAAAAAATGTTTTAATGTTGTTAAAAATTGTAATATGAAGTGAGGTATCAATCATCCGAAATGTAGAGTGGAAAGGTATTGGAAAAGTGCAAATAATTAAAACAATACCATAATAATAATAATTATAGTAATGTTTAAATGATAATAATAATATTGGCCATTTTGATAATAATTTTTATTAATTATATTAATATCATTAAACAATAATCTTCGAGCGCGAGCGCGAAGGATATGCGAATAAGCGAACTAAATCACTATCCTACGCGGCAAATTCCTTTAACAGGGAACTTAATGGACCAGTACACCGGGGTAACCCCCTACACTTCTCGAAGGATGTACTGGGTTCTTTAAAATGCACACAGCCAAATGCATACACTGGGCCTATGGTTTTAAGTCCTTATCCGAGGACTAAAAAAAAGTGAAATTTTAGAAAAACCTAAAAGTTTTCATTATGCCTGCGGCTGCCTTGAAATCTCCAAAAATAAGATATATACTTTGTTAGTCTAAAGAAGGTACTACTGTACTCATTTCATTCCTAATTTATATCTGAGATTTAAAGAATTTAACCATCCCATTACTACATTGTTTACATTCAACAATAAAAGTTTATTTTTATTTTAGCTCTTCTGTCTGGATGTTTTTGGAAAAATCATTTGCTAAATAAGAAAACAAAATTTAATTATTATTTTTTCCGCCCTCCTCTGACGATCTTTAAAAAGATGAGTTTGAGAAACAAGTTATAAAATAAGTCACGCCTTAGTGGAACTAATTTGCTGCCATGGGAAGTGGGGAGCGTCTGTACCCCTCGCACCCACCCACCCCAGAGTCTACGCCCATGGTATCCAGGCACAAGGTGGAGGCATACTCTATGGAGCAACTGGTCCAGTTTATATATTCTTATACTCACTCACTGCAATCTCAAGGCTTGGAAGTGACTATAACAGACCACGTCTGCAACATTCTTCATTTGAAAGGTAGCTTGCTGGGAATTGGGAACCGTTCCGGGACACATACAAACAAACCAAAACTGAAATAAAATGGTGCAGAGATGTTTGATACTATGAAATAAATAGATGAATGTAACAGGCCTGAAGAGGTATAGTTTGTAGACACATAACCAAAGTCCACAGATAAAAGGTCTCTTGTATAAAAGGATAGGGCTTTATTTTGACCTGATCAATCAATAAAGTTTAAAGTTCTTCTGATATAGATTTGCAAACAATTACAGAATAGAAAACATATATTCTTTGTATTAATTAAATTATTAATTATGTGTTAAACTTTGAACAACCACATATTTTCAAATAAAACATCTATTAAAAATATAAAAATTGAATATTTTATAATATACAATTTACAGTAGGTGTCTGGCATAAAACACTGTGCTGTTTCCCATTCGTACAATGGGGTAGAATATTTCATGGTGAAAGATTGGATGTTCTATACGCCTCATTGAATAGAACATACAATCTTTCACTGCATATTCTATTCAACTCGGCTATGAGAAATACAAATTAGTAATTCCAAACTATTGCACACATAAACATTCATAACTACAGTATAATATAAAATCTTTATAAAATAAATTGATATTATTGCTATTAGAAGGGTATAGGGAAGTATTGAGCATTATTTAAAATAAAAAGAACGAATTTGTATTAGTATTTGTATGGTTTACATACATTTGCTACAAAGAAATAACAGAAATTTACGATTAACATCCGTTTAAAATACAATTAATTCTGTTATACTATTGTAAAATAGGGAGTTAATAACAAAGGATGAAGCAGCTAAAAAGCGAAAAGTACCAGCAGATACTAACTGTATTTACTTTAATCTCATTTCTGTACTACTTGAGACTTGGCTACCAACCATTTATTGTAAACACAAACTGAAACTAAGCAACTATTAATCCGATCACCTCTACTTTCTTGGTTCCAGGTGAGTCAAATGGCCAAGCTGTTAGCTGGGGCGCCGCAAGCTATAGCCATAATATCGGCGCTGGTTCAAACGGCACGCTCGCCTATGGTTCTGGTGGTAGAACAAGTCTTCTCGGATAAGGACTATAAACCGAAGGCCCAGTGTATACAATGGCTCATGTGCACTATAAAGAACCCAGTATATCCTTTGAGACGAGTAGGGGGATACCCCGGTGTACTGGAACAGACAGCCCTGTGTGGTGGACGACGAGAGTTGCTGGTAGCGGGTTACCGGGTAGCACAGACACGAAAGGACCCTTAGGGGCGAAAAAAGTCATTGATCGAGTTCCTAATCCACATATCAAACGCCTTGAGCATCTTACATTAGATGGATATGTGCGCTATATAAAACTACACTATTATTATCATTATTATTATTATTATTATTATTATTATTATTATTATTATTCGACTCAGAGGCCCCTAGTTTAAAGACAGGATTTTTAAAATTTGGAATCTAATTATAGATAAAAAAAAAATATGTAAAAAATGTGTCGATTTCTAATTGAGTTTATTTGATAAAAAAAGAAGACTTTAGACAAAGGCATAAAACACCATTAGCAAATGATTCCGCCAAAGTATCCGGGCAAAGTAAAAAAACTACAATTTTTTTCTCTGGCAGTGGGTTGCCACATTATGCATAACAAAACCTAATTTGAATTCAAAAGCAATCGTTAAAATTGAAAATACAGTGATAAAATTGCATACACATTTGGAAAGAATGCCTCTCTTGAATAAATGCTCGGGACGCTTATTGTTTCCTTGAATAAACGGCCTCCTCCCCCCAGTAAGTCTTTATGATCCCGCAAACACATTTTGACGATAATCATGCATTATAGTTTCACATTTACAGTGAAAGAGGCGTTTATTTGAGTATATACGTTACACCAAAAGAAAGTACTGTAAAAGACCATCCCTCGAATAAACGCCTCCTCAAAAACAGGGGAGGCACTAGCGGGGGATCCAGAGGGGGCAGAGGACCCCCCACCAGGGACCTCTGGACTCCCGCTTGGACCCCCAGCTAGTTCGTCGGGGGAAAATCAAATCTCTGGCGCCGTAATTATCCTTTTTAAATGAATAATCCCATATTAACACTACATAATTAATTATTTATTATCTTTTAATTAAAAAATCCCTGACCGACCTAATTTTTTCCCCGAAGGGGAAGGGGGAGTAACTAGGCTTCCCTTGTCGGGGAGCTTAGACCCCTCGTTGAGGAATTCCTCAAAAACCCTTCTGAACAATGAACACCCCGGGATAAATGGATAAATACAGTAAGAACAAGTGTGTGTGAATGCAGATGATAAAAGGTCAGAGTGATTTGATGGCTACCCCATTTGATTTCTAGAGTGTTTGATGTAAGATTTTCTTTTAGTTTTACAGTCTAAAAATTGAACAGTCAACATACCAATAGCAATATATGAAAAATTTTATGTATAGTTGCAGAACGGGCTTTTTGAGAATTAGCAGTACAGAAGGAGAATAATTTTAGTATGGTAATCTCTCGGAAACGGAAGTTATTGATGCTTAATGACAATCACAACACACGCTCTCTTTCCCCAGACACAAACCACAACAAACAAAAAGTAGGCTAAGCCTAACAAAAATGAAAGTAGACTAGAGTTGTGAGTCTGTTTGCGAAATTCTGAACTACCAAGAAACATGGTTACATAATAATAATATAGATCGAATCATACAATAATATTACAATTAACTACACATTAACATTGATTTTAACAATACTTACTCCTAGCCTTCTTACTTTCCGATTATCTGTACCCGTCCCTATGTATCAGTGAAACTTATGACACTTTCGTTATCACAGTGATAGGGAGCACTAGACCGAATCTTTCACGAATCAAGTTTGTTATTGTCAGTGCGACCTCTATTGGAAAAACGTAGTTAGAACGTGGTAAAACCACAACCACCCACGCTAAAGATACAGGTTTGAAAAAAAACAGGCTTAAAGTTGCTGGGGACTCTATTTCCCCCCGTCGGGGAAGCATAGCTCCCCCCCCCCCATGTCGGGTAAGACGAGTAAATTTTGTCGGAGAACAAACAAATAAAAAAAAATATTTACATGTAATGTTCATTTAGCCACCATATTTTTTTCATTAAACTATTTGTGTTTTCATCACAACAACAACAATAATAATAATGATAAAAATAATAATAATAATAATAATAATAATAGTAATAATGACAATAATAATAATAATGATAATAATAATAATAATAATAATAATAATAA